TCTGTGGAGACAAAGAACTTTGTCCTTGGAGGCAAAAAGGGGAATGTATGAGAGTATAGTTTTACCAACGCTCTTATATGGGTGTGAAGCATGGGTGATGAATGTTGCAGCGAGGAGAAGGCTGGAGGCAGTGGAGATGTCATGTCTGAGGGCAATGTGTGGTGTGAATATAATGCAGAGAATTTGTAGTTTGGAAGTTAGGAGGAGGTGCGGGATTACCAAAACTGTTGTCTGGGGGGCTGAGGAAGGGTTGTTGAGGTGGTTCGGACATGTAGAGAGAATGGAGCGAAACAGAATGACTTCAGAGTGTATCAGTGTTTAGTGGACGGAAGGTGGTTTAGGGGTCGGCCTAGGAAAGGTTGGAGGGAGGGGGTAAAGGAGGTTTTGTGTGCGAGGGGCTTGGACTTCCAGCAAGCATGTGTGAGCGTGTTTGATAGGAGTGAATGGAGACAAATGGTTGTTAATACTTGACGTGCTGTTTGAGTGTTTGCAAAGTAACATTTATGAAGGGATTCAGGGAAACCGGCAGTCCGGACTTGAATCCTGGAGATGGGAAGTACAGTGCCTGCACTCTGAAGGAGGGGGGTTAATGTTGCAGTTTAAAAACTGTAGTGTAAAGCACCTTTCTGGCAAGACAGTGATGGAGTGAATGATGGTGAAAGTTTTTCTTTTTCTGGCCACACTGCCTTGGTGGGAATCAGCTAGTGTGTTAATAAAAAATTAATAAAAAAACATGTTATTAAACCATAACTTGTATGTATTTAGTACAATTTACGACGTTTTCATGTATTTTATGATTGTTCATGGTTCAGCAAGTTATGGAAGCAGTATTGTATTATATTTCCCTACAATATATTGGGGTACCAAACATTCGTGATTTTTCAACATTCGCCAGGCTCTTGATCCCCTAACCCTGAATGTTGAAGGAGACCTGTACAATACCAACAGGTTCGTAAATAAGACACATAGACAACATTTAGACTGCTTTATTCCGAAACATTTCGCCTACACAGTAGGTTTCTTCAGTCAAGTACAGAAAGTAAGCAGGAGCAGTAGAGATGTGAAGACGATGTAATCAGTCCATCACCCTGCACCTCTCCTTCTAATCTACGACTTTAAGGGTGATGAACTGATTACATCGTCTTCACATCTCTACTGCTCCTGCCTACTTTCTGTACTCTACTAAAGAAGCCTACTGTGTAGGCGGAACGTTTCAGAATAAAGTTGCCTAAATGTTGCCTATGTGTCTTATCTACCAACCTGTCAGTATTGTATACCATTTTGATATTCCTTCCATTAGGACTTGAGGTATCAAGTCCTTTTCTGGAGTTGCTTCCCTTCTTCTTTTAATGCCACTAGGACCAGCTTGAGAGTCACTGGACCTCTGTTGCACACCAAATCTGCCCATAGAGCTCTGTATCTCCGGTTCCTTTAAGATTTGCCTAAAATGGACCACAACATTGTCATTGTAATAGTCACCAGCACGGCTTGCAATAGCTGTGTTAGGGTGATTTTCATCCATAAAGTTTTGCAGTTCAACCCACTTTGCACACATTTCCTTTATCTTTGAAGTAGGCACAATGGATTCCACAACTTGCATAGGACACACACACACACACACACACACACACACACACACACACACACACACACACACACACACACACACACACACACACACACACACACACGCACACGCACACGCGAGAGATTCATCCGCGACATGTCCCGATAAATCGCGTGAGGCGAGGCAAAATTTTTGCTTTCAAATGTATCGTATGGTGGATTTAACGTGATGCGATGCCATCGTAAGGCAGGGGTCCACTGTAAATACAGTTTTAAAATTAGTTCATAAAAATTACATTACAGGTCCGCCGTCACAAATCCGGCAATCGGTTACCCGGTTCCATCAGTTATTCGGCACTAATTTCAGGTAGCATAATTTCGGATTTCCATGGTCGCCACACCAACCTGTTGGTACTGTTTGGTGGTGCTACTTGCTGTATAAGTCATTCCAATTTCTTTTTCTCCATTTATTGTTATAACCTGCTTACTTTTAGCCCTAGCCATGGTTCCAATGAATAAAAGAAATGCTTCTCGTTGTGTAAAGCACCTACTCGGTACATTGTCCATAAAAGATAAGGTGGCTTTGAAGCCACTGTCAGTTGCCTTGAGCTCAGTCTTGCAAAGCAGGGGAATATGCTTTATTATTATGCTAATATCAACACTACGGCTTATTTGCCTATCACAATTGATCTAATATGACATAATGAACAATATAAATAACATAAAAACATATTAAATACTCCAAAATTAATAATGTTTGGCATAATACAGAGCGGTTCGACAGAGATATAAAGAGGATAATATGGGATACAAGTACCATTCTCCTATCCATGTCTTGGGGGGGGCTTGTATTAGAGAAAACGAAGTATAGAACAGGGCTAACTGTGATATACACTCATACTGCACCATAAAACTGAAACAAAAAAGCTAATTTCTCTACATAGATCATCATACATAGCATATTTGTAGAGAACCTAGGATAACCAAAAAAAGTCAAAGTGGCTTATTTGTGGTACCTGGCTTGGGCTTGCCATATATGATTTTTGGGAAATATTCGATTCCCAGCCATGGTAGAAACATTGGGCGTGTTGTCTATGTTCATCCATCAGTAAATTGGTACCTGGGCGTTAGTGGACTGGTGTACTTCTTATCCTGGGACACTGACCTAATTTGCCTGAAATGCTTAGCATAACAAGGGGCTTTCTGTATAGTAGTATGTCACTGATGTCAGCTAACCCTGTATACCATGTACATTTACTTGTAGTAAATGAAGATATTTTTATTTTTATTTTTTTTATTAACACATTGGCCGATTCCCACCAAGGCAGGGTGGCCCAAAAAAGAAAAACTTTCATCATCATTCACTCCATCACTGTCTTGCCAGACGGGTGCTTTACACTACAGTTTATAAAACTGCAACATTAACACCCCTCCTTCAGAGTGCAACTGTACTTTCATTTCCCTAAATTAATAATAATAATAATACATTATTAAACAACGAGGGCTTCAGAATGAAGTCAACTCAGCGCACTGTTTTACCTAGCTGTGGGAGCAGTCTCTCTCTACTTTGCTTGCTTACATTTTTGACAGTCATTTTGGTCCAAATTTGCTTTTATAACCATGGGCCCTAAGAAAGTAAGTGTAAAGGACAGTGCTGAGAAGAAAAATTAGATGATGTTTCCTTTATTATTATTATTATTATTTAGTATTATTATTAATTCTTGGGAACTAGAGCACTATCAGTTCCCTATATCAAGAGACCTCACCACATCAAGGAACCTTGATGCTGGTGAGGGGCTCTAGTTTCCCTTGATTATTATTTCAATAATAATAGTAATAATAATTATTACAATACCAACATAGCTTCATTCCTAATTATAATAATATTCATATATAACAACGAAGCTTCAGAATGAAGCCAACTCATTGCACTGTTTTTACCTAGCTTTGGAAGTATTCCTCTCTTGATTTGCTTAAATTTTTTACAGTCTTTGGCCAAATTAAACTTTTTTCTAACGAATGGGTCCTAAGAAAGTAAGTGTAAAGGAAGTGCTGATAGGAAAAAGAGATGATTTCCAATGGAATTACAGGCATGAAATGCATAGATACAAGAGAGAGTCCAGGTCTTGGGTTGAGGGTGAAGTGGGGTGGGGGGGGGGTGGGCTCTTAACTAAAATGTGGCTAGTAACTCAGAGCAAAAATCAACCGATCAACACTCGTATCTCAAAAAACCCACGTATGTTGGGACACTCGTAAGTCAAGGTTCCACTGTATACTCATAAGAAATCAGATTCTAATATAAGGGACAGTGTCATTGATACAAGTGTAATAAGCTTTAATAAAGTTCTGAATGGTTTGATATTTTTTGTTGGAATACAGGACTGAATGTGTACAACAAATAAATATTTGCTTAGGCTTATGAATCAGCAAGTAAATATGGTACAGTGGAACCTCGGTTTTCGTTGAATTTGGTTTTCGATGACTTTTTTCATCAAAATTTTGTCCCAGTCTTTGTTCATCACCTCGGTTTTTTCCAAGTTGACAGTGGTCCGCTATACCAAATGTGCCCACCCGCACCCACACAAAGCATCCCACTTGTTCTGAGTCAGTTTGGCTTTGTTTCTCATCAAGTGAGCATTACCCTGTGTGTTTGTCTGAAACATTTCGTAATAATCCATTGTATTTTGTGGTTGTTATTGAGTGTAACTGCTAAATAAGCCACCATGGGGCCAAAGAGAGTTTCGAGTGCCAACCCTTTGATAAAGAAGGTGAGAAACACAATAGAATTCAAGAAAGAACTCATAGAATGAGTTGGAAAGTTTTGGGGAGAAATATCACTACTACCCTCTACAAAGGTAGAGGGTGGTAGTGATTGTGGTAGAGGGTGGTAATGATGGTGGTAGAGGGCAGTAGTGATGGTGGTAGAGAGTGGTACTTATGGTGGTAGAGGGTGGTAGTGGTTGTGATGGTGTTAGAGATAACCTCTCCTCCCTCTCCCGTCCTTGCCGTCTTCCATACACCAACAAGAGTCTTCAGTGAAGGTAAAAGGGATGTTAAATGTTCATTTATCCATTTCATTAGTACTTTATATTTATTTCTCATTTTTTCTGTATGTAAAACTATAGTTATTCTCTATAAAATGTATTTTTTGTTAATACTTTTGAGTGTTTAGAAAGGATTAATTGGATTTACATTATTTCTTATGGGAAATATTATTTCAGTTTTCGTCAAATTTGGTTTTCTTCAGACTTTCTGGAATGAATTAATGACGGTAAATATAGGTTCCTCTATATTTACCGGTTTTTTATATCCAAAATTATATAAAAGATAAAACCGATATTTGCTTATAGAAAACAGAAATTTTGTAATAATACTTTATTAATTCTTGTTTCTCTGTATTTGGTAGTAATTATTTCTTTTGAATTTTTCCCCAGAAATTGCAAGGATAGGAGATGGTAAAAAAATCGTGAGCCTTGAGTATATAGCAGAAGAACAGCTAATAATGGTTATTGCTGGACGGCAGCGACAAGTAAAGTTGATTCCTGTCAGAGCTCTTGGTGGTGATGATGTTGAATGGATTAAGGTATGATATGAAAATATTGATTTTAAATAAGAGGGTGTTTTATTTTTTAGAATGTTTGCAGCCAATTGTTGTGACTTTTTTTATATCTAATATAGTACTTTTTTAACTCTAGACCCTATCCCAGGAAAGTTCACAAAGGAAAAGCCCTAAGGCAATATTATGTAAACATTGTCTTAAGAATAATAATAATAATAAATTTATTTCTTTGTAAAGGTTACAATGTGTAATTACAGTTTTGATTTGCTAAGTACAAAGATAGCCACTATCATGCCGAGGCATTTCGGGCAAACTAATCCTAATACATAGTAGCTAATTAAAACTAGATAAGATAATAGTACATAGTAATTATACTTAAAACTAAAAAAAAAAAAATAAACATAGAATAGTGGTTAGCTGTTTTATAATCTTTGGACTTAATAAATCTTATGTATACTTAGTACAAAATCTAATTTACAAGGAATGGTGCAGGTGGTAATATTTTATGGAATGGCAGAATTACCAGCCAGGTGGTCACAAGATAAAACTAGTCAGTAGATGTTTGATTGATTTGGTTAATATTGTGAGATAAGTTGTCTGGGGATCCTTGACCTCTTCTGGTAGTGAGTTCCAGATCTTCGGGTCTTTTATGTGCATAGTGTTCTTGCATAGTGAGAGTCTTACTCGAGGGATGTTGAAAAGTGCCTTACGCCTTGTATTGTGACTGTGCATTCTGTTGTAACTGGCGAGGAGTAGTTTTAGGGGAGGGTTTACAGTGGAGTTTAAAGTTCTGTATATATGTAAGGCACAATATAAGATGTATGTCTTGTTTATATTTAGCAAGTTGAGACCTTTTGAAAAGTTACCACCTGCACAGCACTTTTTGTTGATTATTAAAGGGTCTAAGGTGGTTGGCAGTGGTTTGAGCCCCAGGCACAAATACCCTAGTGAGGTAAGGGATGTATCAGAGAGTGTACAGGGTAAGGAGAGTTGTTTTGGTACTATAGTACCGTATCTTGAAAGGATTCCTACTGATTTGAATTTTTCTTGGCTAGTTATGGGTATTGGACTGAAATTTTAAGATTATCAGTCAAGGAGAGGCCTAGAAATTTGCCTTCTCCGTGTGTCTGATGAGAGGAACCATTTCACAGTTTGTTTGAGTTGAATATTGAGGCTCTGTTGCCAACAGCATGAAGTATGTTTTGTCTATGTTGAGAGTGAGTTTGTTGGTCCATCATCCAAGCATAATCTTTAGGCAGTTCATTGTTTGACCAGTTTTCAAGCACAGCTGTCTGAATGGGAGTAGACATAAGTAGTGTCATCTGCAAATAAAACTGGTGTAAGGAATGGGATGCATTGGGGAGATCATTGATGTAATGAGAAAGAAAGTGGGAGTGGGCCTACCTGCAGCAGAGGATCCTATGCATTATAAAAAACTTAGTTTACCCTAGGACACTATCTTGGGGGACTCCCTACAGCTACAGGTTGGATACGAGGTGACCTCCATTTGCATGTACATACTGGTGTCTGTCCCGTAAGATAGGATTTAGGTAATCAAGAGAATGTCCTCTTAATGAATGCTGTAATGATTCTGTATGAGGTGCAGAGATTGTGTCAACTGTGTCAAATGCTTTTCTTCGGTCTAAAGAAGCCCCAAGGGGGTATTCATTTTTATCGAAAGCTGTGTAATAATAGGTCAAAGTACATTGTATAAAGCATCATTCGTGTGTTTTTTTTTTGGTCTAAAATCCAACTGGCATGGTTTAAGTTATGTTGTTGGATGTAAGGTAGGAGTAAATCGCTTGTGTATTATTTTTTTCAAATAATCTTGGAGAGTAAGGGCAAGTTGATATGGGTCTGTAATTGTTCAGATCATTTGGATCTCCACCTTTGGTGGATCGGGTGACCCTTGCGTCTTTGAGCATGGATGGGAAATGGTTGAGATCTAAGATTTGTTAAACATTGTTTCAATAATGGGCGACAGTTCTGGTACAACTTTTTTTATAATATGAATGGTGGCAAGTTATCTAGATCACCTGATTTGTTTTTTAATGATTTAATGATGAATGAGATATCAGGGGGATTAGTTTGGAGGTAGAAATAGAGTGTTTGGAGCTGCAGAGAGGTACTTGCTTGGATGGGTATATTGGAGAATTGAGCAGGAATTTGACACTCGCTAGCTTATCCTATAGTAAGGATAAGAACATTAAATTTGTCAGCCGTTGTAGGTTGCATGTTGAGGTATCATCTGGTTTAGTTTAAGTCTCTCTCTCTATTTCCAGTTCATTTTCCCTGAGTCCCACAATTTTGAGAGGGTTTGCCAGGTACTTTTCATGTCACCTTTCATTTCACTAAATCTATTTTTCATAATACATTTGCTTTGATTTACGTATTAGTTTGTGAGTATTGATGTGTATCTTTTGTAAACTCTTTAGTGAATTAAGCCTATCTGAACTTTTTTCAATTTGGCGTTTGTTTAATAATAGATTGAGGATACTTCTAGTTACCATGAGCTGTTTAGCCCCTTTTCTGTGATCTGTTTTGTTTTGATTGGCAATGTTTGTGTAGAGTTTTAGCTGGTTTTATGTAAAAAAAATTGATATCTTTTATCGATATTATTATTGTCATCTAGCGCTCCTCTGCCATCAATGGCACCTAAGCAGTTTTTAGGTGTTTAAATATCGATGTCTCATCATGCAGGCAAAATGAGATCTTTCTGTTTTCTTGAGCAGTTTTAAATAAGTTGGTTATGGAAAGGTAGGATAGTGTCTGTGGTGTTATCTGTGATTATACCTGCTTGTAGTGGGGATATTATTTGGTCCCAGATATGTTCGAGTAACGAGGCACTAGTGTCAGAGATTCTGTGCTTTGTTATAGTGGGTAGCAATAAGCTGTTGTTCATAGCATTTGTGGAATCAACTACTGGAGGCCAATTGCTTGATAAGGTTGATGTTGAAATCTCTCCTGCTAGTATCAGATGGTGTTTTAATTCAACTCTGACTCAATTATTCATTTTTCTAAGGTTATTGCTAAAGTGTAAGTGTTGAGTGTGGTAGTCCCTGTAGACCGCACCAATACTGCTATAGGTTTCTAAGTGTTCTTAATTGGTGAATTTAGCTATTATACATTCACCGTTTTCGTCCCGTACATTATTTAATTTCACACATTCTAGTTCTTCAGAGTAATTAGATGGCAGTGCCTTCGGGGGTGGGGGGGGGGGGGGGGGGGGGGGGGGGGGGGGGGGGGGGGGGGGGGGGGGGTGGGGGTGGAGTCTCGTCCGTATCTGGATGGTGGAGAGATGTTTGCGTGAGTCTCTTTGTGGCAGTGGTGAGACGATGTGGGGAAGCAGGTAGTGTCTTGTAGTGTGGTCTATACTTGGCGGGTGTCAGAAGTGTGATGTGTGGAGAAGTATATTAAACTATGAGTGATATAGATGATAGACTGGGTCAAGGAGGGGAATGATATGACATGGAGGGACATAAGACATTTGGGTACATGTATAATGTTAATAGTAGCATTTAGTGACTTAAGTAGTGCAATGAAGGTCATCATAGCGTTTACTCCATGGTATAATCATTGTAGTTGAAGACCTGTAATGTTCTTGCTGACACTGGAGAAGGTAGTACCTGAACTAGCATGTAGTAATGACAATTACTGTTAGGATTATGTGTTGCTGTTCATTAAAGAGGTTGTATTAGGATTGATAATTGCATTCATAATTGCATATTAAAGAACATAGACAAAAGCTATGATGTTAAACCACTAACAATACTGAAATTATGAACTAAGATAGTTAAACCACTAACAATTATGAACTTCAGAACTAAGATAGTTATTTTAAATCTAAAAAGTAATGGATCTACCGAATATTAAAATAAAACACTTTAGCACCTTGATTATTTCAAAGTTAAAAGTAAAGATTTCAAGTATAAAATAAGACAGAGAATAAAACACTTAAATATCTGGATTAGCACCTTGAATAGCACCTTAGGTGTCTTAAGTAAATGGGAAATAATTACCGTTATTCACTAAGTCATGAAAATATGGATTAGAATAAGGGTAAATTCTACTATACTGTGTTGAGATATGGCTTAACAAGGCTCAGTCAAACCAGTGAATGAGAGGAAACATGCTAGTTCTGATCATTTGTTATTTCAAACCCTACGACCGCCGTTTGGTCTGATAATATATACCATAAAACAATAATGCCATCACAGCAAAGCACTATTTTATTGATGCATTATCATGCTTAAGTTTTTGAAGTCTGTATATAGGTTGTGACCGTTTTTTAGTTAGGCACTCATTTATATACACATCACTCCTTTCTTTGAAGAGGAACTTATTAGATCATTTGTTTACATCAATACAATTGAATTTTTAACCTAACACTTTGTTGACCCGACTTGCCTAGCGTCGGGCCTCCTTGATACACTGGTTTTAAGGTTAACTTATCTCGTCTTTTTATTAGTTTGGAGTGCTTTGATAGTGCAGTTACTCTTGTTTGTATCTTGTGGTAAGGTAGAGCTGGTTAAAATGACAGAGTCCTAGGAGCTTGTCTTGTTCAAATCAATATTCCTTTGATACTAGAAGCATGCATTCCACTGGGATTCCAAGTTTAACACAGTCTTGTGTGCTCTGACAGTCTTGGTGGATGAGAGAATTTTTGTTTAGTATGTGTGTCTGTATTGGATGTAGGTTTGCTTGTTCTTTAGATAGTTTATTAATATATCAGTTTTTTTCATAGTCACTAATCTTTGAGTTTGTGTTGTAAGATGGCATTCAAGGTCTTTTAATTCTCGGGTGTTTGGTATGTAGAGAACGCTCTAGTTCCAGTTAGTTTTTTTCATAGGTTTCGTTTTGTCGTCTTAGCATACTATTTTCCTGTAGAATTTTATCATGGAGTCAGGTTCCATTGTTGAGGACTGAATTCCTGGTATACCTTTGGGTGTTGACAAGTGTAATCGTGTTGGAATTGCGTGAAGAGGTCTCGGTTTTATTCGTAGTTAGTTAGACAAGTCAGCTTGGTGCGAGTCATAGATGAGGAAGAGTGTTGAGAGAATCCGAGAAGGTTTTGGAGTCATCCACCATGGTTTGTTGTTTGTGTTGTCGTGGGGTGAGGGGGGTGAAAGATTCAATGGCGTCCTACAGGGCATACATTATGGGTAACGTTTTCTATTGAGGTTTTTGTGTCTGTCTTGTGTTTGCTTTACCTATTCTTGTATCCCATGAGAACACTGAGTGAGTTGTATGGAGTTATTGTAGAGATAACTGTTGCTTGGCTGGGGATATCGTCTGGCCAGCAGGCTGATGTTTTGTTAATGCCGGCAGTCCCTCTATTAGTCATGTTTGGTCAGCTTTTTTACATCTATAGCAGCTTTATTGGTTGGTCGTTACTGGTTCCATGTCAGTTTAGTGCAGCAGTAACAAGCAGTTGGCCATAATAGATCTGTTGTAGGGGCAGGGACCAGTAAAGGTATAGGAGTAGCTGTTTGTTGTGTCTCCTCACCCACCACCATAAAATTGTCTTCGAACCTAATTTGTTCACTTAAGTCTTCTTGAGACTTTATGTACTCATTCACTTCTTATAAATTCCTCTTGTATCCCTGTAATGCATTCCTCATAAAATCCTCAAACTATCAAGCATTTCTGTCGACCTTAATACTTTCACATCTTCATACACAGTTATATTCTCATTTACTAAGCCATACAATTTCTAAAACTGTACTTCATTACCTCTGCTTCATTTCAATGTTTTTTTGAAGGCAAAGAGCATATCCAACAGGATAAGTAGAGTATTATACGATGTATACTGTATTAAAAATATGAAACACATGCTGTACATTTTAAAAAGTAATGTTCTCCATTCAGTAGCATAGCTCTTACTTTGAGGTCTACTCCATACCACACACCTTTATTCTCAAAGTAATACATAACATAGTAATAGTCTCTTTTACAAAATTAATGATAAACCACTTATTGTTAAAAAGTTTACTAAGTAAAGACATATTTTCCTCTTTGTTTGTCCATTTTCTCTGCTAAACCTCCCCCAATGTATGTATGCTGCTTAAGTAAACCCTCTCTTTCCACACAAAATGCTTCCCAGTAGTCGTAAGAGACAGCTTCTCATCTTGTGCTAGCGATCCATTCCGGGGGGCATGTCAGTTTTTTTGTTTGTTACAAGCACTCCCATGAAAAAATTAATTTAAATATTTGGATAAGTTTTTCTAGATGGGTCCCGACAAAGGGAACAGTGCGCAAAAGTATTTTTATTACAAGAATTATACATCATATATGTTGGTGTAGATGTAGAGTTTTAAAGCATGAAATATATTTCACACAGGTGTCAGAAACAAAGGTGCCATTGCTTTTACTACTGGAAGTTTCGCACACCACTAGCAGTTGTCGTCTTCATTACTGTTTATGCGTAGCTGTCAAAAGACAAGTAAGTTTACAATTTTATAATGCTAAATTCATATATTTTGAAATTGTATTATTATTATTATTATTATTATTATATTATTATTATTTATTATTATTATTATTATTATTATTATTATTATTATTTATTATTATTATTATTTTATAGTTTTTAACCCTTTGACTGCGCAAGCTTCATTTCTGAAACTGTCCTTTCCTATGTCGAAAAATATTTGAGAAAATAAAAAAAATTTTTTTATCTTTTCCAAAATATTAGGATTAATTTGCTGAGAGTTTTAAGCCTAAAAGAAAAATTTTTGTGGTCAGTACATTCCAAAGGTATAGAGGTATAAGTTAGCAAAAATGAGCCGCGTATGGAAACAGCGGCAAATGCCGCTCACGCCGTTAAACTTTTTTTTTTTACTCCATTCAAAGGTTTTTCTTTGTATTTTTTCTCCCTTTATTTTTCAGTAACTTATGTGCCCTGTGAGACCAAAGTAAGGTGCAATGTACATATATACGCTTGTTGTATCACACAATAAGCGCACAAACATAATTATCAATATATTGGTATTTTTTACAAAACTTGTTTACACAAATCAAAAATACAAAAAAATTTTTATTACTATTGTTCTAATAATATATACACAATATACAGTCCACTGGAAATGTTCTAGAAGTTCTGCAGCTTGCGAAACTCTTTTGAAACATGGTTTCGTACACAATGGTGTTTTACACTCCTCACACATAAAACGAGTATCTCTGCATTTTTGTGGCCTTTTTTTGTGTATGTGCAAAGACAAAACACCTCGTCTGAGCATTTCTTCAAATAGTAGCAGGCAGTTGTGTTTTAGGTAGTTACCAAGGTAAATGGTCGTGAGTCCATCATTCCTTCCTTCCATCCTCCCTACTTACCTACCTTTCTTTCTCTTTCTACTTTTTTCTTTTTCTTTCTTTCTTTCTTTCTTTCTTTTCTTCTTTCTACATTCATATATAGTCACTGACACTTTCATAGAACGCTGTTATTGCCTGGAAGCCTTGAGTATGTGTATGTTTGTGAGGGGGAGGGGCAGTTGCTAGGGGGGACTTCTCAATGAGCTGAGTCAGGGTGTGGGCAGCTGTTAGTATGACATATTATACCATCACTTACTACCCTTACTCCTGTCAGCACCCATGGGGTCCTATGCTTCTTCCCCACATGTCCCCTACCCACGACCTTACATACCTGAGCCGTGGACCCTACCCACCCACCTTCCCTACCCCACCTTACACCTACCCACCTTACCCGACCCACCTTACCCTACCCACCTTACCCTACCCTACCCACCTTACTCCTACCCTACCCACATACCCTACCTATCTTTACCCCTACCACCTTACCCTACCTACCTTACCCTGCCTGCCCCGCTCACCTGCCCACCCCCCCTGCCATACCCGTACCTACCCTACCTTACCTACCTACCTAACCTACCTACCTAGACCTACCTTCCCTTTTCTTTCGTCTGGTATCCTGGCATTGCTTTCGGCGGGGTTTTTAGTCACAAAACTTCTCAAAACCATGAAATTCATCTTCACTGACACTTCCACCTGAGTTAGATCTATCACTTGGGAAGAGAATAGGCCCAGGATTTGGCCAGGACTGATATTTCTTACCACTAGGCATGTGAACAAGGACTACTGAAATGGCATTCCCACTATGCACCACTGGCTCCCTGATTTTTTTTTTTTTTATACTGCACACAACTGACCATGGAGATCCATTCTCTCACATGTGGCCTACCAGCTTCTCCTGCCTGATTTTGAAGCCGCTAGAAATTTTGGCGTATAATAGACAAAAACATTTGGCTCCTAAGACGTATATATACGACCGAAACAGTCAAAGGGTTAATTTGCCTTTGTGAAATATTTTGTGAAGAGTCTAACCTTCACTATTTGTTTGGTAATTTTTAAACGTTAATTAAATGGATACATGGAACATGTTACATACATATTCATGGAGTAACAGGAATTTACATACAAGTAGAATTACAACAAGAGTGAGGAGCACAAATTCAAGTTGAGTCTAAGCTCCTTGGATGCGGGTCAGGAAACCAAGTTGAAGCATTTGTTCCCTCTCTGCATCTTAACACTATCTCACTGAAAATAACAAAAAGCAAAAAAAGAATAAAAACAATACCGTCACTGGAACGATACACAAATAACCCGCACATAAAAGAGAGAAGCTCACGATGACGTTTAGGTCCCGACTTGGACCATTGACAAGTCACACTGACAAAGTCACAGTTGTGACTTGTCAATGGTCCAAGTCGGACTGAAACTTCGTCGTGAGCTTCTCCTCTTTATTGGTGGGTTTATTTGTGTATCCACTGGAAAAGAAAGGTGGCAGCTTTCAGTGTCTCTTGTGGATTTGAGAGTTTCACCTGAACCCCCAGCTCCTTGAGGAGACTGAATTGTCTCATAAATTCCTGATGCTCAGGATGAAGTGGTAACAGGTGGGCCAAATCTTTGTACCGTAAAACCCCACCTTATAGACCTCGACATAACAGAACCTCCAATAACAGACGTTTTAAAATAATGGACAAAATTCACTGGTAAATTTGGGTTATAATGAATTTTATTTATTTATTTTTTTCTTCAACAAGTTGTCGTCTCCACCCCGAGGCAGGGTGACCCAAAAGAAAGAAAGAAAAATCCCCAAAAAGAAAATACTTTCATCATCATTCAACATTTTCACCGACACTCACACATTATCACTGCTTTTTGCCGAAGTGCTCAGAATACAACAGTTTAGAAGCATATACGTATAAAGATACACAACAGTATCCCTCCAAACTGCCAATATCCCAAACCCCTCCTTTAAAGTGCAGGCATTGTAGTCTTTCCCATTTCCGGGACTCAAGTCCGACTATATGAAAATACCGGTTTCCCTGAATCCCTCACTAAATATTACCCTGCTCACACTCCCAACAGAATCGTCAGGTCCCAAGTATCATTTTTCTCCATTCACTCCTGATCTAACACGCTCATGTATTTTTATTGTAATATAACTAATTGAGGGTATTGGATGTAGATAGAGTATTTAACCCTTTCAGGGTTCGGTCCTGTAGATCTATTGCTTCACGTTGAGTGTCCAAACCGTAGATCTATGCCAAAATTCTAGCTCCATCAATTTAGCGCGAAAGCGCTCATAGGCCTACACGTGAGAGAACGGTCTCGTGGTGGCTGAGCGCTATGAACAAAAAATCTAGGCGCCCACATAGCATAGTGGAACGCCGGCTCAGTTTACCCTGTTCACCATGCTCGTCGCAAGTCAAGCTCTCACTCCACGGAAATTGGGACTCTCCACCTTCCTATCTGATAGTTTCTGACACTGATGGAAGTGAAATGAGATGAATTCTTTGGCTTTGATCAGTTAGAGGACGCGAAATGAATTGACAGATTTCGATAATAGTGCAGAAAACCCTGATGATCCTTCAGACCTTCTAACCTCTGGTGTAGCACTCCTCAGTTACAGTCAGTTGTACCTCACGCACGAGAAACAATTATTTCGCGTGGCCAGACTCTGAACTTCAGTAATGATGATGATAGTGATGTGGAATTGTGATTTTTTATTGGCTCTTGACGATCATTCGAGTAGTGATAGTGAGGAACAATATTCACGAGTGAAGCGTCGGTTATGTACCCGCCGCATGTGCTCGGGTAGTGTTCCCTTGCTGTCCCAGGGGACGGAGTGCACCCGGAGTACATCGGAGTACATCCCATGGCCCACACCAGGTTTAGATAGAGATAGTGAGGAATAATGTGCCACACAATTGGCATGGATAGACCACAGCACAGCAATGGAGGTGGTAGTGGTTATGGTAGGGCACCACCTTGCGTGACTCGCCATCCCCAGCTGGGACCCCACACTGCTGGACTCCTCAGTTCAAGACAAAGCGAGCGTACAGCCCACCAGCCCACCACAACTACAACCACCCGCCACAACCAGCCTATGAAGTCGGTATTCACCAGCAAACCGTATCTGGATTGGCAGCAAAATCCAAATTTTGTTTCCCAATCCCCACCACTTTGAATAACTCTTAAATGGAATTCTACCTACTTGTCCCCGGGAACCATGGCCAATTAACTGGAATTCTTTTGAATATTCTTTGACTAGCCCTTGATGGAAACTATGTCAGGAAAGTATAAGTATTTTGAGTACACCATGGCAAATACGATAATATCACCACTGTCAGACCTACAACCGTGAAAGAGACGACTGTTGCAGAAATGTATTTGCTTTTGCAACAAATGCCTTATGCCTCATGTCTATAAGCAAAATAAAAAAGCAAACTGTCACAGATCGGCTATATCTACCCCGGTCTTCAGTGAAATCATCCCAGTGACAGGTTTATCCCTGTTTATCCATTCAATACTCTTGTAATTGACGAGTCTTTGATTTGGGGGGGGCAATGGGGGGAGACTTGTCAATCAACAGTATTTACCGAGGCAAGAGGAAACGCTTTGGTATAAAACTGTTTGTACTCTGTGACTGTGACAGTGGCCTGGTATTGGATAATTGTTATATACACTGGATGTAAAACATTGAAAGATACAAGATGTAATGGTATCTCAGTGACGTAGTGAGAACATGATGGCACCTTATCTTGGTAAGGGGCATACATTATATTACAGATAACTGGTACACAAGCCCATTTACTCAGTGATTCATGCGAGAGACAAGACAGATGTGTGTGGCACAGTGTGTTCTAATCATAAACATATGCCCATGCTCAACGCAGGTGCTCGTGGTGAAGACGTGCAGGTGTTAACATAGCCAATGACATCATGGCGGCATGACAAACGGATTCACATTGTTGACAACCATTCACCGTAATGAAATGCAAGACAGTGGCAAAGTTGATCGAGTGACTAATAACGTATTCGAAAACCAGTGACAGTGATTGATTAATACACATAAACATGCGCTTGGTTGACAAATGTGACATGCCAGATTGGTTTTGTTGACTAGTGTTTCGTAAGAGTTTACTAAGTGTACATGATACTTATCTCCATCTCATGGACATTTCAATGCGTCAGTGCATATAATATTACCAAATAAAAGACTGCAACAGACCACCGTATGGTGAATTTTGTTTGTCTGTTGACAGACAACTCATAATAAAGTACCCAGGTAACAACACCAGCTATACAAACAACGGTCCTTCGAAATTCCTCAGGATCTACCCAACGTTTGAGAGGGAAGGTGATCATTTTCATAAATAACAACTTCCTTCAACCCTCAGAAGAAATTTGGCTCAGAAGAGATGCATCGTCTGTGCACAAACAAAACACGGGCAACAAAGAACGCAAAGACACTCGGTTTTATGTGTGAGGAATGTAAAGGTCCACATGTGTATGGGTGCCTTGTTTCAATAGGAGTTTCCAAAAGCTCCACTCAGCAGTCTAAAACCATGCCCCGTTGATTGTAAATATGTTAAATCTATGATAGAACATTAGTAATATACAAGATTTGTGATGTTTATTGTAAATAACCAACATTTTAAACAATAATATGAATAACTTTAGTGTATTATGGTGTTCAAAACAGTGAGTTTATATATATACATTATATACAGTATTCGTCTCTTCAGGCCCCAAATTGTTAGTAAGAAAAGAAAAAAATGGAAAAGAATAGAAAAAACATAAAAACCGCTAAATAATGTAATGCGCAGTATGGGGAATTCGTCGATATTATTGCCGCCCCCCCCCCTCAACATTTTTGACAAACTTCTGCACTGATCTCGGTTAAGTACTATCGAATATTTTTTGTTTTTGTCTTATTACCTTCACAAAAATATGTCTCTTAAAATTCTGTAAGAAAAAATTATTTTTTTTTTTTTTTTTTTTTTTTTTTTTTCAAAATTTCTTGGACACTGGAGCAACCACTTCAGATTTGGCCTTGGAAACCCATGAAGTGTGTTAAACACATAGAGAACCATACAAAATCAATGTAAGTGCTCTGACATAGTGTTGATTGAAAAGAGCATGTTCAGTCACTGAATTCATATTTTGTACCCGTGTATTAAATTAGTTAGTTTTTCAAGTTTTTTTCTAACACACAATATTAATTAATTTTAACTGTTGTAATAATAAATTATATGACTAGGGGTATGTTTCCACATCTGTCTTATAACAGCAGGTAAACATGGGAGAAGTGCAGGATTGCAGTGAATGTTTGGAATAACAAATGCCTGGTTTTTCATTGAAGAATGTCACTTTTCCCTGTTTTTTGCAATAAAAAAATCAAATGAAGACATTCAATCAAAAAGAGGGTCATGCAGCACTTACTGGAAAAAGGAGGAATGTACAAAGGGTAGAGGGAGGTGCTGGCAGACCCACATCTGATGAGGTCCTTATTTAAACACTATTTTCTTGAATGAATCATTTCCTCTCCCTTATCCTGATCTTCCTTCCCATCCTTCTGTAACCCCCCTCTGTCTTCTTCTATCCAATTTTTTATTTATGCAGAAAAAATTTCAGTCTTATTTTAACCTTTGAGTTGTTTTGTATACTTTACTATACCTGCGTTCATTATTGCAGAATCAAGATGAGAGACCACATCACCCATAAGCATATCTAGCGTGGCCGACCATTGTGTGCCAGAATGGTGATTCTACAGAATTCTTAACTTTGTTGCTCAGTTCCGACAGGCTAGAACAGATGAGACAGATGAATAAACTTTGTGATATAATGGTAACAGGTTTAAGGAAGTTTTTGGTTACGCTTACCTTATATTTTTTTTTTTTCTAAAAATTCTATTACAATGGTCTTTTGCTAATAGTGTGCGAAAAATTTTTTGTAACATTTTGTTGTACACATTACAGTATGTATAAAGTTTTTCTTTTTCCCCTGTTTCCATTGTTTTCCCTTAGGTACTCAGTATTTAGCTCATTTCAGACATTCACTAGTTTTTTTTACTCTGCTCTTTTACCTTTTGGTGATGAAAGTTGAAAAGTGGGACCAGGAGCTTATATCCAAACTTCGAAACACAACTATAACTAGGCAAGCACACATAAATAGGTCATGACACCAACCCATGTAACTTAGCATTTCTCATTTCAGCTTGTGCTATCTTCTACCAATCTTTCATTCTGGACAGTAACTTGTATCTCTGATAAAAAGTTGTTGATTTTGACACTGTTCTCTAATATTACTTAGGATACTCCTTTTAACTGGTCAAATTTTACACTTCCTCTTATATCTTTTGTTCTAGCAAGTTTTTATTTTAAAATACAGAGTAAGAATTCTTTAAAGAGAGGGCATTCAAGTGCATACTTTGAGGAAGTTAGATGATTTATTGATTCTATGCAAGAAGTAAATTTTTTTTTTTTTTTTTTGTCAGCTGTCTCCCACTGAGGCAGGGTGACCCAAAAAAGAAAGAAAATCCCCAAAAAGAAAATACTTTCATCATCATTCAACACTTTCACCACACTCGCACATTATCACTGTTTTTGCAGAGGTGCTCAGAATACACAGTTTAGAAGCATACACATATAAAGATACACAACATTTCCCTCGCAAAACTGCCAACATCCCCACCCAAAACCCCTCCTTTAATAGTGGCAGGCATTGTTACTTTCCCATTTCCAGGACTCAAGTCCGACTATATGAAAATAAATCCAGTTTCCCTGAATCCCTTCAACTAAATATTTACCCCTGCTCACACTCCAACAGTCGTGCAGGTCCCAAGTAACCATTCGTCTCCATCATTCATATCTAACACGCTTGCTGGACGTCCAAGCCCCCTTGCCCAACCAAAACCTCCATTAACCCCCTCTCTCCAACCCTTTCGAGGAGACGACCCCTACCACCCAGCCTATCATCACCTATAAGATATATACGGCTTTCCATGTCATTCTACTTTGTGTGATCCATTCTCTAAATGAACCAAACCACCTCACAAACCCTCTTCTGCCCTCTTGACTAATATTTTTTTATTTTTTTTTCTTCAACAAGGTCCGAGTCCCGTCTCCCACCGAGGCAAGGGTAACCCAAAAAAATAGAAAGAAAATCCCCAAAAAAAAATCTTTCATCATCATTCAACACTTTTCACCACACTCGCACATTATCACGTTTTTTGCAGAGGTGCTAGAATACAACAGTCCTAGAAGCCTACACATATAAAGAATACACAACCTATCCCTCAAAACTGTCCAATATCCCAAACCCCTCCTTTAAAAAGTGCAGGCATGTACTTCCCATTTCCAGACTCAATCCGACTATATGAAAATAACCCGGTTTCCCTGTAATCCCTTCACTAAATATTACCCTGCTCACACTCCAACCGATTCGAAGGCAGGTGTCCCAAGTACCATTCGTCTCCATTCACTCCTATCTAAGCACGCTTCACGCACGCTTTATGCTGGAAGTCCAAGCCCCTTGAGCCCACAAAACCTCCTTTACCCACGACAACACCCCCCTCTCTCCAACCCTTTCGAGGATGACCCCTACCCCCGGTCCTTCCTTTCCCCTATAGATTTTATAATGCTTTTTACCCATGTCATATCTACTTTGATCCATTCTCTCTAAATGACCAAACCACCTCAACAACCCCTCTTTCTGGCCCACTGACTAATACTTTATTAACTCCACACCTTCTTCATAATATCCACACTCCGAAATTTCTGCATAATATATTACACCAAACATTGCCCTTAAACTGGAATCACCACTGCCTCCAACCGTCTCCCCCTCGGCCTGCTGCATTTTACCACCCAACTTCACATCTCCCATATAAGAGTGTCTTGGTACTACTATAACCTTTCATACATTTCCCTTCTTTGGCCCTCCATAGATAACATTTTTATTTTTGACTCCAAATATACCTCAACCACCACTCACCTATTTCACCTCATCAATTCTATGAATAACCTCATCCTTCATAAATCCCATACTGCCGACCACGTCAACACCCAAGTATCTGAAAAACATTCACATCTTCCATACTCCCCTCCCCAATTTGGATATCCAATTTTCTTAATTCTAAAAACATTTGATACCCTCATCACCTTTACTCTTTTCTTTCTATGTTCACTTTCAAAACATTTCACCTTTAACACACACCCATTCCAAACTTCATACCAATAACTATTGCAATTTTTTTTTCTTAGAATCTCCCATAAGCAAGTATCATCCAGCAAAAAGAAACTGTGTCAATTCCCATTTTGAATTTTAGATTCCGCCAAAAATTTAACCCACCCTCCCCGAACACACCTAGCATTTACTCCCTTACAACCCCCATCTAATAAATATATTAAACAACTCATGGTGACAATACACATCCCTGTCTAGATGACCTACTTTAAACTGGTATGTCTTCTCCCTCTCTTTCTACACAACCCTAACCTGGAGGCCTACACTATCCCATTAAAACTCTACGAGCAATTAATAACTTATACCGACATTCCATATAACTTGCACACACTCCACATTGCTTCCTCTATCCCACTCTATCATATGCCTTATTAACTAAATACCACAAATGCAAAAAAAACTTCTCCCTACTTAAACTCCCTAACATGTACACATATATGCTTCAATGTAAACACGCACTACACATACCCCTACCCCCTCTTAAACCTCCTTTTCACAATAAGGGGCCTAGTTCCGCAATCCTACAATCGTACTTAAGTTACCATAAATCTTATACAATTAAAAACCCTACCGAACACTTTTTTCCTGGTAAACTCCAGTAAACATATTCTCTATAATTTTTAGTGTCTCATTTGTCCCCCCTTTCCAATATATTAAAGAGACTATACATGCTCTACCTCCCTCCGCCAATCCCTAGGTAACCTTCCCCCTTTTCCAAACATTTTAATAAACAAAAGTAACAACCACTGCCAACCACTATAATCCCCCCGCTTTTAACATTTGACTTGATCCCCATCATTTCCAGCTGCTGTTAATTTAAACAAAAAACCCCCTTACATTCACGTCAATGCCTCACTTCCTCCCCATCCACTTACATTCAGCTCTTCTTTTTCTTCACTCCTAAAAGATGGTATACCCCAACCCTGACCAGTGCATGGAAATTACTGCCTCTCTTTCTCCTTATAACATTTAAAAGGTTCCTCAAAATATTCTCGTCCGCCATCTACCTAATACCTCCATCTTCTCCTTCCTTCCCCCATCACCCAACTCCCCTACTCTGTTTTTTTAACTGACAAATCCATACTTTTCCCTAGGCTTTCTTAACTTGTATTTAACTCACTCCAAATTTTTTCTTATTTTCATTAAAATTCTTGACAGTGCCTCTCCCACTCAAACAAATGCCTCTCTATTGCACTCTCTCACTCACTCTTTACCTTTCTTTTACTCTCCATAATACTCTGCTCTTTCTTATAACACTTTTGCTTTGTGTAAAAAACCTCTCATAAGCTACTAAACCTTATATCTCTTAATCACACCCTTTACATCATCATCATTTCCACCATCACTCCTCTTTCCTCCTGCCCCAACCCTCCTATAACCACAAACATCTGCCCCCACATTCTAATCACTGCATTTTTTAAACTATCCCAACCCTCTCAAAAAACTTCAACCCACCCATCTACTCAACTTAGCACTAGCCCCACCTTTCATCTGCCAATAGGACCGCTTATATCTCACCCGAACTTCCTCCTTGTCCCTTAGTTTATACACTTTCACCTCCCCATAAATTGTTGTGCCACCTTCCTCTTTTCCCCTTCTACCTCTTACACTAACTGTAAGCTACAAACTAAATAATGATCTGATATACAGTTATGGCCCCCAATAAACATGTACAAACCCTGGAGCCTACCCATCAACCTTTTATCCACCAATACATAATCTAAATAAACTCCTTTCATTACGTGCTACATCCTACGCTTGTATATTTATTTAATCCTTTTTTCATAAATTATTATTACTTATACCAAATCTCTTTCTATACACATAGCTCAATATGGAAGGCTCCACGGGCATTTTACCTTAAACCCCTGGCACCTCCAAATTTACCTACTACAACACCCCTCTAAATAAACTATTTACCTCACTTTAGCCATTGAAATCCCCCAACCAACCATTACACTCACACTTTATTCAAAACTCCCCACGCATTCACACAACATTTCCTCCCCCCCAAAATCTCTCACTCTCCTCTACACTTTACTTCTCTTCTACCATATATTTTTAGTTCATGTCATCTGCCTTCCTGGAAAAAAGATTTAGCATAGAACAAAAGTAAAGTAAGGGCCAATCATTGGAATAACATTCCCTTATTTTGAAAAGTTCTTTCGAATCCACCAAAATTCCCTTATTTTTCGTGATCTTTGTTAGTTTTGGTTTCCTTGGCGTTTTCTCTCAATATTAGGTCAGTGACATTAATATTAACATATTTTGCCTGTTCCTCTAAAAAAAGACCTGATTGCCATCTTGTATCTGTACATATTTATTTTTGAAATCTTTACTATAATCATCCCTGAAGTAGTTGGAAATTATCACATTTTAAAATTGGGGTTCCATCTTAACACTTTGACTGTTTTGGTGGCCGTAATATACGTGTGTCCATACGATCCAGAGATATCTGACGTAGATATATCTCAAATAATTCTAGCGGCTTCAAAATCAAGCGGCAGAAAGTCTGGTTCGGCCCCACATGTGAGAGAGAATTGTCTGTGTGGGACAGTGGAGCACCACATAAAACAAATCCAGGCAGGCACACAGTGCGAAATGAGAAAAAAAAACTGATCGATTTTTTTGGATTAAAAAAAACTCCGAATTTGAGGTTAATTTATTCGTATAGTATTTATCATGTATTTGCGTATACCACTGGACTTAGGTGAATAAAAATGGAAAACATATTACAGAAATAGAGATAATTTTCACTACTTTGACGATGAAAACGACCTTGAAAGTGAGCTCAAAGTAGCGGAAATGTTCGATTTTTACCAATGTTCAGGAGTAAACAAATCACACCACACGTCTACTACACGTCAACTGGGGAGTCTAATATTCTTTCACTAGTGCACTGATATTATTTATACCATTTTTACAATAATGCAGTAGTCTGCATAACAGTAAATTTTGTATGTATTTTTTTGTATGAATAAAAAATCAAAATAGAAAGCAATAATAATATAAGAGGGGCCTAGAGATGTGACTAATGAACAGAGTATATGTTATTTTAGTGCCAATAATGTCTACCTTGTTTATTCTGGACCCTATTTTGAAATTGGCATCTTTTTTTAGTTTGCATAAAATTGGCCAAATTGCCATTTTCTGACCACAATATTGCATAGTCCAAATTGGTAAATGGGAGGTTTCTTGTACTCAGCTGATAGATAAAATGGAGTTCTAAAGAAATAGATATGAGTTTGGTCAACTGGAACAACGGAATTGGGTGAAAATAGGGCTCAAAGTCAGCAAAATCGCCGATACGCATATGTCGCCGAGACCGCTAACTTCGCGGGAGCGTAATTCCATGAGTTTTCGACCAAATTTCAAACTTTTGGTGTCATTACCATCGGGAAAAGATTCTTTATCATTTCATAAGAATTTTTTTTTTTTTTTTTTTTTTTTTTTTTTTTTTTTTTTTTTTTTTTTTTTTTTTTTTTTTCAAAAATTTAGCGACATAGAATGACAGTTTCAGAAAGGGGCCTGAAACAGTCAAAGGGTTAATGGAAGACTGTTGATATTTATAATTATAATTTTGTGTTTTTCTAATGATACAACTCTTTTGCCTACTTTGGTATTGCCCTTAAAATTACTTTACAGCAGATATAAACTTTGTTTTGGAGATACAGATTAGTGTATTAGTGAGTAAAATCGAGGAAGAGAATGTAAATCTTATTGGGCTAAAGAAGTTTGTATATATTGCTGTGAAGAGTTAAAATAAAGTGAGACTAGGCACTGTTTTGTGAGGTCTGTGTTTACTTTGTAGTACAAGTATGTGCCATTTGTTATTTTATATATTAACAAAATAATGCCAAGTAGTGTTCTGTTACACTAATTTCAACTTCTGTTTAATTAGTGCTTTTATATTATTTTACCTGTTACTGATTTCCTTCATCATGCTTTAGGTCATTTCTGATTGTAAGGCAGCCAACAATAATTGAAGATGTCAAGATAGTCACTGGTTGATGCATTTAGGAAAGATTTTGCATGCAGCAGCCTCTCTTGATTTTTAAGGAAAGCCAGACCCCCCCAAAAAAACGTTGGGGGGGGGGATGGATTTTTTATGGAGAAAAACACTTTTAATAAGATTAATACTGTACTGATTTACACCACTGACCAAACTTCTAATTATTTGAAAGGTTAATATGTACTTCAGTTGACACTATTATATTCCAGGCATGGTAGAACCCACCATAGTTCATTGTTCTGCTGGTATTGGGAGGACTGGCGTCCTTATCCTCATGGAAACTGCACAGTGTCTTATTGAAGCAAATGAACCAGTTTATCCTCTAGATGTTGTCAGATCCATGAGGGATCAACGAGCAATGATGATCCAGACAGCTGTAAGTATATTTCGCAACACGTGAACCAACCATTTTTCTGTTGCTACAATGACAGCTTTACTGCTACAACTTATTAATTCTCTCACAACATATCCATTACATGTATCCATGAACCCTTTGCCACACCAAACAACCTCCCACTCCAGTGGCAGTACAGTGTAGGTACTGCAGCCTGACTGAAGATAGCTCAATTCCTTAAGTTCCTGATCAGCCAGGTTGTAGTGCCTGTGGCTAGTATCAACAGCCTCATTTATCAGAACCTTAAATTATTTATTTGTCCCTTTTTCTTTGAAATACTGTCTTAATCATATTTTCATTTTCTTTCCCTAAGTTATACCTTGCAACAAGTTATTTCCAGTGGAACACAATTTTTTTTTTTCAGGAGAGCTTACATGATTTGTATTTATAATTTACCCCACTTTTCAAGTAACTGCAGAGCCTAGTATTGCCAGTGTGTCCTTTCAGGCTTCTGTATCAAGTCATTGAAATGAGGGATTTGGTTGGCCATTGTTTTTATTTTTCCAGCCTTATAGTCCTAGGACTTTGTAATTAAAATCTCTGATAATCAGGCATAGTACAGTACTAAAAATTTGTCTCATACAGATAATTTTAGGTCAGTTCCATCAAAATTAGCTGATACCCACCAATACTTTGGCAAATCCCCATCAATGGTAATATAAGTTATTTGCCCATGTTTTCGGTTTAATCAATAAAATTTTGACATTACAGTATTTTTTTCTTGGGACTTCATATCTGTAGCTTGTAGTTTTTACTTTTATACTGTTATTATTTATCATCTCCATGCTGATTAGTTTCCTTCATAGTGTATGTTTCTGTTTGTAGTTATAGGAGTTAGTTAACCCTTTCAGGGTCGAGAGGCCCTCTCCTAAACTCGTTCTCAGGGTTGAAAATTTTTGGAAAATTTTTTTTTTTTTCCTTATGAAATGATAGAGAATCTTTTCCCGATCATAATGACACCAAAAGTCTGAAATTTGATATAAAACTTACAAAATTATGCTTTTGCAAAGTTAAGTGGTCTTGATGATGTTGACACATTGGCAATTTGGGCCACTTCGAGCCCTGTTTTCGGCTAATTTCAATGTACTAGTCGACAAAAATCATATTTATTTCGCTAGAACTCCATTTTTTCTATCAAATGAGTACAAGAAACCACCCATTTACCATTTCAAATATCCAATAAAGTGGTCAGAAATTGGCAATTTTGCCAATTTCCAAGTAGGGTCCAGAATAAGCAAGACAGACATTCCTGGCACTAAAATAACATTTTTCTCTGTTCATTAGTCACGTCCCCAGGCCCCTCTTAATCTCTCTTGCTTTCCACTTTGAATTTTTATTCTCACAAAAAATAGAAGATTTACTGTTAGCAGACTACTGCATTAGTGTAGAAATGGTATAAATAATATCAGTGCATTTGTGAAAGAATATTAGACTCACCAGTTGACGTGTATTGGACGCTTGGCATGATTTGTTTACTTTTGAAATTTGGTAAAAATTTAACATTTCTGCTACTTTGAGCTCAATTTCAAGGTACTTTTCATTATGAAACCAATCAATATCATCTCAATTTCTGTAATATATCTTCCATTCTATAAATTGAGACCAGGAAAACTAGAATACAACCATAAATACCATACGAAAATACAGTGCAAAGTCGCTGTTTTAATCCAAAAACACGGTCAGTTTTTTTTTTTCTCATTATGCACTGTAGGATTTTTTTATACTGCACACTGACCACATAAACCCATTCTTTCATATGTAGACCTACCAGCTTTCTCTCACTAGATTTGAAGGTGCGAGAACTTAGGCGTTCTAGTACGTCAATAGCCCTGGTGCGTAAGCCATACTAGTACGTCGGAAACCCTGAAAGGGTTAAACAGTGCTGGTAATGTCCCATAATCATTATTTGCCTTTCTTATTTTTACACCAAAATGCAACCCACAAGACTACGAAATGAAGAGGTAGTGAGTATAAGGGTAAATTTGACCTATGTCTTGCCTTGCACAGGGATTGAACTGAAAAAAGTGACCAGTATGCTAGTACGTGTAAGTTAAGAGAAGAGGGAAGCATAAAATGCATACAGTAAATATTTTACATTTCTATAATGTGAACAATTAGTTTACTTGTATATAAACTTATGCTGAATATTTTTCTGTTTCAGAGTCAGTTCAGATTTGTATGTGAAGCAATTGAGCGAGTGTACTCTGAAGGCCTTGTCAAACCCTTAGCTGAGTACCAGCAAAGATGAGAGGTTGCACCGTCATAGTATTGGGCACAGATTAATAGAGTAAATTGTTGTACATATCCTATGACTGAACTGAGGATGAGCTGTACATGTAGCTAATAAAAATATACGAAAGTTAGCTCATGTGATGCAATATACTGTAACAGGAAATCTGCAAAGTTCTTCATTGAATTTTAAGAAACTACAGACAAAGAAAAGAGGTTGTTAGACACAAGGTTCCTCTGGAGCTGTGAAGGGAAATGCACATCCTATAATAGGATGTTCTTAGAGGAAAATTTATTTATCTCGGAGAGGATGAATCTCTCTGGGATTCAGCCTTTTAATGAAAAAAAAAAAGATAAAAATATATGCATTTAAAACTTAAGATACCTATTCTTGTGAAATACATAAGATTCTGAGAGATTCTTTAGTTGTAAGACAATACATGAATGCTGATAATTTACAGTACTGCAGTTATTGCCTAGTGTTTTTTCTGGTGTGTGGGGGAGGTTTAACCACAATAACAACCCACCAAAATTGTACTTGCTCAAGATTCAATAATTTACCAGTTGTCTCTTGCAGCAAAGGTGGGGAAACCAGTGCAAGATTTATCAACATTTGTACAGTAGTATTTACACACTTGGGTGTGTTATTGAAACACTTTGTGCATGCATTATGGTTACCAAGATGCCTGTTCATAATTTTTCATTGGAATGTGAATAATGTATAGATATAGCAAGACTTCAAAACACAAATCCTGACCCTAGTGGTGTTTCTACTCCAAGGATATTTTCTACTTGCTGTTGAATATGAACTACTATAGTTCATATAAATCATGAGACCCACCTTGCCCTTCTCGCCATTCGAGCCTTGTGAAGCACGATACAAATTCTTAAGTCATCTTTGCATTATTATTAATACCATCAGATTGTTACTTGATGACTTTTTTATCAGTTTGCTATGAAATTTAAATCTCTTTGTAAGGCTTTAATTGATAACTTAAGAAATTATATCATGTCACCTGCCACATCTTTCTCTTGTCTGCTGAGGTTGTTACCATCACATTCAGAAAACTCCAACCAGTCAGGCACTAGTGTAGTTTTTATAAATTCCTGCCTGTAAATCAAACTTTGTAATTTGGCTTTGTTTTCTGAAATTTTTATTAAAATTATATACAGTATTGATTTCTACGATCTTGGAAGGCAGTGTATTAAACACCACATTACAGGGTACATTCACCACAGTGCCTGTCCTCCAAGCAAATATTCAAATATGTCTTGACTGGTAATGTATGCTGACTTTGTTACCCAAGCAGTACAAGAGTTAGCCATTACCCCTCCCACAGTCCTGGGACTCACATGTGCCTTCCTCTTGACGAAGAGTCTGATTCAAGCAACTGACAATCCCACACTGGTGATGCAGTCACCTTCCAATAGTAAATTGAAGCTGTTTTTGCAATGTTGCACAGCAAAGTGCCTCTGAAGAATTATTGTCCTGAATCTTCTGGTGGCAGAGGTAAAACTTAGCTACTAGAATGGAAGTTTTATATTCCTACAAAATGTTTGGATTATTCAGGAAATGTCCAATTGCCTTACAGGCTTTTTAATACTGAATATAAACAGTAAGGAACTTTGGGTGCTGTGTGCCCCTATACCACTCAGGATATAATAAACACACTTTTAGACAACACACATTGCCTTTGGTCATTATTAAATGTCTAGATTCTTTTATTTGAGATAATTAAAATGTGAAAAAGGTCAAACTTTTGTGTAGAACAGTGTAAGGTAGTTTTTGTGATTCTAATGTCTTAATTTTTGTAAGCCCCCCCCCCCTCCCTTTTTTTTTTTAAATTATATAGAAAATATCTGTAAATTTACTGTAGTGTAATATATTTTTCATTACAACTCTACCAGCTGACTAGGATGTTTACACTGTCTTTGTTGAATACAAGGAACAGGTTAAAACTGAATCTCATGTATTTTGTTTTACATGAAGGTAAAATTGTTGTACAAAGGAAAGAGTTTTATAAAGTACAGATTGAACAAGACATTAAACTATTTACCTGTCTGGATCTCTAAGAGGTTCAGGTTTGTCCAGTACCCAGAAGGCAACTAAGTATAGAGTAGATGTAAGCTAGATTAAAATGGTCATCTGCTACTTTGCCAAAGAAATGAAGGGGTCTGACCATAATAGTTCATGCAGGGATATACTGTATAATAAAACTGACAAAAAAATTGTGCAGAGTCAGACTACCTATATCTGGTCCTTTTATTTTCTTACCTGCTTTAAATTTTTTTCTAAGTACATTGACCAGTATGTCAGATCCCTCCTTTATTTTGTGATTTATATCCTTATGCATGATAATACATTAGTGTAATTTTCTTTTGTTAAAACTGTGTTGGAATGAAAGATAAGGTTACATTATATATAAAAATTGTCACTTTGTAATCGGTGAATAGTCATTGTAGGCTTAGTACAGTATTTTGTTTGAACCATTTTCTTCATGGACATGAATCATTGTGAAAGTTGCTGATACTAAATTGATGGACAGGTAATGTATTTAAAGATGACCAATCAACACTGCCAAAAGTATTGGTCACTAGTGTAAATGAATTCAGTTTATATATACAAGTTATGCCCTATTTGTCTTATTTTTAAGTCTGTAATGTAAAGGAATATGACAGGGAGTGTGTGTTATATTTGACACAAATGAGCAATAAAGAGACATGGTTTGTAAAACAATTTGTATTAATCATTTCCATGGCTGTATAACCCTTGTGGTTTAACATTTCTTTTTGATTATAATAACTATTTCCATGGCTGCTAATAGGTTAGTGATATTTTTTGTCACATTGTGCAGTACTATTATTACATGTTAATATATTCAGGGAGAAGCACTAAATCCATGAGACCTTAGTGTTTACAGAATAGAAGTTAATTAGGTCCATCTCAGTTCTTGGATTCAAGAACCCAGTACCACAATTCCTACGCTGTCTATTTGCTATTGCACATTTTCTGTAGCTTAAGTTTTCCCTCTGTATTTCAAGAGAATTTCTTCTCACTGAGGTAGAATGAACCCACTTCTTCCCCTCCCTCTCAAAAAAAAAAAAAAAAACACCTGAAGGTGGGCAGGACATTACAATGCAGATGACCATCCAAATTACAATATCCTCATCCCTTCCTTCAGAGTGCACTCACTATACTTCCCACTTCTAGGACTTTAGTCCAACTGGTTTTCCTGAATCCCTCCATAAATATTAACTAACTCCAGCAGATCACGAAGTCACATGCTTGCTGGAAGCCCTCGAAACCTCATCCCCAACCCAAGATTAAAAAAAAAACCACCTTGATCATCTTATGCTACTCTATCTCTGAATCAATACTTTAATTCCAATTTTACTTGAACTAATCCCTAACTTTACATGCCTATACTTCTCAACTCTTAACCTTCACACATCCTGCTCCACAGAGGTGTATGACCCTTACAGGTTTAGTGATTAGATTATAATACAGGAGGGCCCTGTTTGTACGCACTGAGGTTCCCAACCCCTTGCAATGAGCAAAAATCGTCAGGTGGAAAAGAATTTTTTTCATTATAGAATACGTCTAAAAATGCCTGAAAACATGTTTACACTATTATATATTAAGTGCTCAATACAGCTAAGCATAAAGACTAAGTAAAATAAATGCAATATGTACCTTAATAAAATATGGTGCTGGTTGCCCTTCTCTTATGCAGTAAAAGCACCAAACAAACAATGGCTCAATTGAAAGCCAACAAAAACATGGAACACTGAAAAGAGGGTGCTGAATGTGTGAGTTCCTCTTGTAAAAATAAATAATAATCACATCTTTGGTAACCACATTATCTTATAATTTCTACCCTCTAAATTCTATTCATAATATGCACACAACACATTGCTCTTAAAACACTGCACTTCCTGTGCCTCCAGCCTGCCACCTATCTAAAATTGTTGGTGTCATCATACCGTGGTACATTCCCTTTTTTTCTCAAACATTACCACAACCATCTCAACACACCACTTACATCCACTCTAAAGATTACCTCGTCTTTCATAGACCCATTAGCTAAGATGTCTACTCTCAAATATCTATTATCCTTCATACACCCACCCTTCCCTCCAATCTTTGTCTATATGTTTTGTTACTCTTATCACTTTGCTCTCTTAATGTTCACTTTTAATTTCCTTTTATATACTCTCCCAAATTCCTCCACTAACCTTGACAATGTCTCAAAAAGAATGATTATCAGGAAAGAGCAACAGTTACAACTCCTCACTTTATATCAAATTCATTCTTTTAATTCCACACTGCCTCAAGACCCTAGCATTCACTTCTTTGATAACTCTATATATATGTTAAGTAACCACAGTGATATCACATATTCCTGTCTAAGGCCTACTTTTGCTGGGAAATACTTCACCATCTCTCCTACATATCCTAATGTAAGCCTCACCTCTTTGTTGCTCTTATTAACCTACTCCACCTATACATTGGCAACAATTGCCACATTTACTCCCCTATTCACCCTATCATATACCTTTCCTACATTCATAAATGAAACAGTTCCTTGCCTATATCCAAGTACAGTGGAACCTCGAATTACGCATGTCCCAACATACGAGTTTTTTGAGATACAAGCCGTTGCTCGGTCGATTTTTTGCTCTGAGTTACAAGTGAGCTTCCCCCTCAACCAACAATGCACACCTTGCTTGCTTATCTTTTATCTCGTGCTTTAATTCCATGGACATCATCACCTTTTTCTTCTCAGCACTGTCCTTTGCACTTGCTTTCTTAGGACCCATGGATAGAAAAAAGAAATTTGGCAAAATAACTGCAAAACACAAGAGAAATGCTTCCACTGCTCAGCGGATGTTTTGGCATTCACTGCATCAACTAGTAGTGGTGTTCTGAAGCTCCTCGTTATTATCATATTAATTTAGGGAATTGAAGCTTTATTATGTATTTTTTTTAACACATTGGCCAATTCCCACCAAGGCAGGGTGGCCCGAAAAAGAAAAACTTTCATCATTCACTCCATCAGTCTTGCCAGAGGGGTGCTTTACACTACAGTCATAAAACTGCAATATTAACACCCCTCCTTCAGAGTGCAGACACTGTACTTCCCATCTCCAGGACTCAAGTCCGGCCTGCCGGTTTCCCTGAATCCCTTCATAAATGTTACTTTGCTCACACTCCAACAGCACGTCAAGTATTAAAAACCATTTGTCTCCATTCACTCTTATAAATATGCTCACACATGCTTGCTGGATGTCCAAGTCCCTCACACACAAAACCTTCTTTACCCCCTTCCTAGGCCTTCCCACCACTTCAGATTTATACACTCAAAGTCATTCTGTTTTGTTCCATTCTCTCTACATGTCCAAACCACCTCAACAACCCTTCCTCATCCCTCTGGATGAGGAAGGGTTGTTTTGGTAATTATTATTATTATTAATTTAGGGAAATGGAGCACAGATCCAATTCCCTAGATCTGTGCTCCAGTTCCCTAAATAAATAATAATAATTATAATAAATAATGGAGGGGTTTGGGATACTGGCAGTTTGGAGGGATATGTTGCGTATCTTTATACGTATATGCTTCTAAACTGTTGTATCCTGAGCACCTCTGCAAAAACAGTGATTGTGTGTGAGTGAGGTGAAAGTGTTCAACGATGATGAAAGTATTTTCTTTTTGGGGAACCCTGCCTCGGTGGTAGACAACCGACTTGTTAAAAAAAAAAACTATAATAATAATAATAACGAGCGAGCTTCAGTTCCCTAAATTAATAATAATAATAACGAGGAACTTCAGAACACTTCTACTAGTTGGCGCAGCAATTGCCAAAACATCCGCTGAGCAGTGGAAGCACTTCTTTCATGCTTTGCTTGCATTTTAGTTATTTTGCCAAATTTCTTTTTCTAACCATGGGTCCTAAGAAAGTAGGTGCAAAGGACAGTGCTGAGAAGAAAAAGATGATGTCCATGGAATTAAAGCATGAAATCATAGATAAACACAAGTAAGGTGGAGGTGTGCGGGGTGAGGGCCACTGACAGCATACGCGGCTCTGCCTATCTTCCACCCCTCGTCTCTTCTCCCAGGTAAATATGTATGTACACTTTATAAAACCAGTTTATTTCTTTACATTCTTTTATTATGTTTTTATACAATATTTCTTATTTAAAAATGCATTGTTTCAGTGTTTTCCTTATGAAACTAGTGATCTAGTGCAGTTTGTCACTCCGTTTTCAGAAGGCTAAGATATGGTCAGTGCGGGAGTGGCAATGGCTGCCACCGCTCATCACATGACATATTTTATTCATTCTAAAGGATATATCATGTTTCTATGTTATTTATATTGTTTATTATGTCATATTTGATGAATTGAGCTGATATTAGTGTCATATTGAAGTACAGTGGACCCCCGACTTACGATATTAATTCATTCCAGAAGTCTGTTCGGGTGCCGTTACCGAACGAATTTGTTCCCATAAGGAATATTGTAAATTAGATTAGTCCGTTTCAGACCCCCAAAAATACACGTACAAAAGCACTCACAAAAATAAACTTACATAATTGTCCGAGTTGGGAGCTGATTGTTAGGCAGGGGTCCACTGTATTTAATCCTGCCTCCCGAGAGCAGGAATTCCGCTGGAACGAATTAATGGCATTTCAATTAATTTAAATGAGGAAAATTTATTTGATATACGAGCAAATTGAGTTACGAGTCAGGTCACGGAACGGATTAAACTCGTAAGTCGAGGTTCCACTGTATTGCTTACGTATGTTTCAATGTAAATATGTGGTATATTCGTTCGTGCCCTTGTTCTTCTGAAAACCTACTTTGTCTTACCCTTAGCCCTTTAACATCCCAAGACCCCATTAGGGTCCCACATCTGGAAAGGTTCCAGAGCCAGTATACCATTCACTTTACCTGTATACTCAACAGGCTTCTTCCCTTTAATTCTTATACAAATTAACTATGCATGCTCTCTGCCATTTCTTAGGTACCTCCCCCACTTACATTCATATACTGAACAAATGCACCAATTACCCACTTATACAGCAGGTTAGGTTTCAGGCTACTACTGTAAACACGACTCACGAAATCTTAATGACATGATTGCAAACAAACTATACCACGTGGTAGGTTTTTTTTTTTTTTACTGCTGTAAAGCAAAAAAAAAATGCTGTAAAATGAAACATAGTCTTTTTTCACTTTTAAATGCATATAAAAGCCTGATAACATGTTTACACTATCATATTAAGTGAGCAATAGAGCTAGTCCTAAACAATGCATATACAATACACACATTACTTAAAATATTTTTGTCCTTAGCTTATAGTGAGTGGTGAACATATTTATTGTAGAAAAGTGAAGCATTGTAAAGCGAGGCCCTCCTGTAACTATAACCCCACCTTCTTTTAAAAGCTGCCTTAATCCCATCTGTCCCAAATGCTTTACCCACTAACTTGTGAACTTCCTTTACAATTACATTTGGTTCTTCCTTTCTCCTATAAAATGTTATTCCTCCCTGCCCAATGCATGAAATTACTGCCAACCTTTCTTCATTAATTTTTAACAGTTCTTTAAAATGTTTACTCTATCTCTTCCCAGCACATCTATCTTCCCATTAAACATTTTCCCTCCCATTAAACATTGTTCCTCCTGAGGCTTTCTCAACTTACAATCTCCCTCCAAAACTATTTCTTATTCTCA